GCCCCGAAGCCGCACGTGCTCAGCGGACCCGCCCCACAAAGCGGGAGGCGCCGCAAACGAAGCAAGGGTGCTGGGGATGACCCCCCCCTGGCGCGGACGAAAAGGTCCCTGGCTGGAAACAAAGGTTAGGAGGCAACTACTGGAAGGTTTTCGTCGGAAGGACTAAAGACGACTAAGCCCCATTGGGGGGCTGTTGCGCCGGAGTGGGCCTCGGAATAAGCAGGATTAAGCTGGAGCGGGATTCAGCCGGATGTAGCGGGATTAAGCCCCGGATTTCGGACCCGGATTTCGGACTGGATTTCGGAACAGGACCGCGGGCCCAGGCCGCGCGCCCGCGGGCGCGGCCGGTGCCCACCTCGCGGGGCGCCAACCGCCTGGGGATGTAAGGCAGGGAGCGCCAACGGACCACCTCACCGATCCCGGCCCAGGATCCCAAATCTTGAAGAAATCACGACGGAAGGTCTGTTCGGCTCCTCTGGGCCTCTACGGGGCCTCGGAAGCGTCAACAAACGACCAGGGATGAAAATACCGGTCAAGCCGGTCCCGGGGTCGACGTTAGGGACACATCATGACGTCGGGGGTCTGGATTGTTCATACAGTAGACACATACGATCACGCAGAATGTTTTGAGAAATCCAGGGGCACATTATTCGTTGATCTGCCCCAGGAACTTGGGTCCCTGGGGCCGTCGGGGGAAGAGAAAATTCCGTGACGTGGCACTGGCTGACATGCCGACTTATCATGTTATGTGCCTTCTGTCAGCGGACCATCTCGCCGATCCTGCCCCAAGATTCCAAGCAATGCCAAGGGGGCGCCATCACTGACCGGCGGCGGGGTCGCCACTTCCTCGAGGACGCGGCATTTCGTAGGGGAACGGTGCATCATACCCAGGAGCTGCTCCCCAAGAACTCTCCAGAGCCCTCCAAAGCTGCCCACACCGTCCAAAAAATGATCCTCGAGCTTCGATCCTGGAACCTCGATTCTCAGGAGAAACGTTTAACCCGCATAGCGGTGACCCCCTCCGTTTTGGCTCTGCCCGAGTGCACACGCCCCCTCCTGGCTCGGCCGGGGGTGGGGGGGGGACACGTGCACCGATCCTGGGCCCAGGATCGGCCCTTTCAGGATCTGTGAAGTGGTCAGCTGACGTCCCCCCAGGAAGGGGGAGGCGAGCGACCAGGAGGGCACTTATTACTCCCAGCGATCACGGGCGTTATAGGTCGGGGGGGAGGGGGGGGGGGGGCGGTGGGGCATTGCGTAACGCCCCCCCCCACCCCCCCGCGGCAGTCTGGGTCTGGCACCTCAGACTCTAATGCCAGACGCGCTGCGGCAGGGCTGGGGACGCACTGGGGGTGGGGGGAGCGTTACGTTATAGGGGGGGGGAGGGGGAGGATGGAGGGGCATAGCGCGCGTCATGGCCCAGAGGGTAAACGTAAAACACGCTCAAGGAAGGTTCGGCTCGTTTCGGTCGTCCTCGAATGTGCGAGTCAAAACTCACAGTGCCACGACCCTTGGCCGCGGCGGTCGGGACAGGACCCACCAGGGCCAGCCCCGGGAAGCGCAGGGATGGGGGGAAGAAAGGTGAGGCATGGACAAATGCCCCCTGGCGTATCTAGTCCCTGCACGCCTGAACCGCCCCTCCCCGAGTGGTCTGGACGTCACTCCAGCGGCGCCTCCTGACTGCGACCAGAGGGCGCTTCGCGCCCCAGGGTTTCGGTGCTGAGGTCGCCCTGGGCCACTCGGAGCGCCCGTTTAGGCCAGCTAGGGCTATCTCGGAGAGGAGGAGACAGAGAGCACTGACAACTAAATGATCATGAACTTTCGGGGGTCCACGTGAGGCGTTGGACCCCCTCCACATACCTCCGTTGCCGCCAAGGGGTGTGGGAAAGTCACCCCAGGGCCCGGCGCCGACCCAAGAAATCCGCGCGCCCCTCCAATATATTGTTTAAGTGCTTCTGCCCGTTCATCCAGGGATGGGGGAGGATGGGGTTATGTCGCCTCTCTCCTCTCCTCCGTCGCCTCGCTCCCGCCCTCCCCTGGTTTAGATGCTTCTTCTGAGGTCCTTCCTGGAACCGCTCGCTCCACTCATGCGTCGAACTCGAATCGAGCTAGAGCCAAACAGATCCGTCCAGGAAAATCCCCCTGACAATCATTCCGCGTGGTCGCTCCCCCATCTCCGCGGTAGCTCCCGCTGATGTTCAGGCGAGCTCCAACAAGATGGTTTGCCGCCCTCCACCCCCGGCAGCGGTCTGGGGATGGCCCTCCGCCTCCCCAGACGACCATCCCGGAGGGCTCGAGGACTCCAGGAGCATCCCGGCTGCCCCGCAGCCTCCAGGCTTCCAGGAGGCCGAGGGCACCCCGCCTCCTTTCCCTGTAAAGAAGCACACGAAGTTTCGGCCTCCAGGGGCCTCACCAGGCACCAGGACCGTCACAAGAACGACTCGGGGTAAAATGAATATCCTGTCGCAGGGAAGGGGTCTAAATTTCAGCTTCTGGGTGTCGGCACAAAAAAGCACGACGTCGGAGATCTAAGGATATCGCCAGAGATCGGCTGAACGCGCTCGACGCTGCCATCGGTCCCATCTTGCGCCCCACATGTGCAGCCACGTCGGCGTCTGCGTGGGTGCACCGCGGCACTGGCGGCTCAGGCACGCGGTCGATACTCTCGCCTCGGCTGGGGCTTGGACCGCCGCAGCGGGGCCTCCAAATTCTTACACAGATGCCCCCCCCCGCCGATCGACTCTCGTCACTCTGGGGCCAGTCGTGAGGGTGTAGTGGTGACCAGGACAGGACAAGATGGAGCACAATCTGCGTACCCCTGGTCGGGGACACCACCCGCCTCGCTCTCCCACTCTCTTCCCCTTCCGTCCTTCCCTTGAGGGCCTGGCCCAGCCCGGCCGTTAGGGTGCGCCCGCCCGACCCGCCCGTCAGGGTCCGCCCACCCGACCTGCCCGTCAGGGCCCGCCTTTTCGCTTGCTGGGGAGCCCGCCCGACCGCTTCGACGCACCGCCCGCCCGGCCCAACCATCAGGGCCGCCCGCCCGACCCACCAGTCAGGGTCTGCCTTCAAATCTCCCTGCCCCTCTCTCCTGCCCCTCCTGCAGAACATGGTCGTCCTCAACGGCCCTCCCTCCCGCTTGCCCCTCTCTCCTCCCGGTTTCTCCTCCAACCATCGATGGTTTTGAAGCATAACATGTTGAATGGCACGCGAGCCACGAAGAGCGATCAATATGAACATTCCTCGTGTTGCTGCTGCTGTTGTACCGCGCGCCAAAGTCCGCACACCCGACCTGCCCATTAAGGATCACGTGCCCGAGCCTTAGCTGCCCCGATACGCAACACGCGACACGTAGCGTATTGATTCGGAGCTCAACACGTGGACTGGAAACGTTGGTCCGACGCGATACCTTCGCCAAAACTTGCGCGAATACGTGGAACCAACACGCAACGTATTGACACGGACGTCTTGAATACGGCACGTGATGCGTAACAAGACGGGCGTATCGAGGCAGCTAAGGCCCGAGCCGTTCGTTAGGGCTCGCCCAGCTCACCCGCCCGTCAAGGTCCGCCTGCCCGACCCCGACCCATCCGCTTTAGTGTCCCGCCCGCCCGTCCTGTCTGGCAGGGTCCGCACATCCCTTAGCTTGGAAGCTCGCCCGACCGCTCTGGTGTCCCGCCCGCCCCGTTAGGGTCCGCCCGCCTGACACGCGAGCATCAACATGTTTGTATACCTTGGTGTTGAACCATCGTGTCAGAAGAACATGTATTACTGATCTCCTTCAGCTGAATTCCCCCCCAGCGCTCGGACCCATTGAGCCTCAAACTGTCTTGTTGGGCCCCTGGCTGCAACAACCATGACGGCTCTCGCCTGAGACTTCCTCACAAGTTATTCAGGAATCGTGCTATGATTGGAGCCTTCCTGGAAATTGACCAAAGAATCGTGCTCTCGCCTTGTACCTCCGTAGGTTGTACTCAGGAATCGCGCTCTCGCTGCTTAGGAATCACGCTCTCGCTGGGGACTGCCTTCGAATGTAATCAGGAATCGCGCTCTCGCCACTCAACAATTGCACTCTCACTCAAGACGTCTTTGCAAATCCTTTAGGGACCACGCTCTCCCTCGACAACTGTCCAAGATTAATACAAGAATCGCGTTTCGATGTCTTGCCCGACCCGCCCGTGAGGGTCCGCCTGACCCGCCCACTAGGGGCCGCCCGCCCGACCCGCCCACCAAGGTCCATCCGCCCGACCCGCCCGTTCATTCACTTGGAAAACCGCCGGCCACTTGTGATGTTCTGCCCGTCCGGCCCGCCAATTAGGGTTCGTCCGCCGGGTCCGCCTGCCCGGCTCGCCCGTCCGTTAGGGTCCACCCTGTTCTCATGCTTGGGAGTCCGCCCGCCTGCTTTCATGTCCTGTCCACCCGCCCCTCCCGCCCATTCGAGTTCGCCCAGCAGACTGGCCCGTTTGGCCCCATCATCCCGATCCACCTCTCTCACATTGTTGGGGTGAACTCAATAGCTGGCATAGGTAAGGTGCCCCCGCACAGCAGGTACGATCGTAGACGAAAAGGGCGGATGTCGAATGGCACGCGAGCAATGATTCACAACCTGTCTTAAGTTGACAGTCGTTGCCCCCCCTCTCTCATTCTCTCTTTCTCTCTCTGTCTCTCTCTCACTCTCCGTTTGTACCCACATATCTCGACATATGCGTACATAGAGAATGACAGGGAGAGAGAGACAGTGAGAGAGAGACAGAGAGAGTGCTAGAGAGAAAGAGAAAACGAGAGAGAGAGAGAGAGGAAGAGATGGGGCCACCCCGAGCCGGGACTCTGCAGGCCCCAAACCTCCGAGAAACCAGCCGCCGTGGTGCTTCGTTCTCCCACGACGCCTAGCAAGATCAGGATGGAGCCGAGGCCCGGTCGCTATCTCAGCCCGCCTCTTTTGCACGGATGCGCGGCGCAATCGGCCGGAATGGCGTCGGCGTCTCTCGGGCGGGAAGTGGCCCATCTCAGCTGGCCTCGGCCAAGGAGAGCCTGGGCGCAGCCCGCGGCACCCCCCCCCCCAGGCATCCTCGTGCTTGGCTGGCGCCCCTTCTCCTGCCTCCCCTCCTGCCCATCATCCTCGTCCTGCTGCCGCAGGTGCTCCTCTTCCTCTGCGTCCACCCCCTCGTCCTGCTCCTCCCGTTCCTTGTCCTCCTCCCCCCCCCCCTCCTCGTCCACCGCCTCCTCCTCCTCCTCCTCCTCCTCCTCCTCCACCGCCTCCTCCTCCTCCTCCTCCTCCTCCTTGTTATCATGTTCGTGCTCCTTCCCCCTTCTCCGTCTCATTATCGGCCTCTTCCTTCTTCTAGGCCCTTCGGCGACCCAAGCAGGGCTGGAGAGAGCCCCACGCTGGCCCGTGGGGGCCTCTGGAAGAACCGAAGACGACCCAAGAAGAAGCCAAGACAGACTCACGCCGGCTCCAAGAGGCCCTCCGGACGGCCAAAATTGCACCAAGCCAGCCCAAGAGGGCCCCGAGACGGCTCAAGGTGGCCGTGGACGACAGAACAGGTCCCCCAAAGATCCCCAAGACTGCTCCACAGCAGCCCAGAAAAGCCCCAAGACGGTTCAAATGTACCAGGAGGGCTCCTCAAGAAGTGGGGACGACTGGTGTCACTTGTGACGGGCTTCTGGGCGGTGTCCGGGGGGCGCCACACAACGAGCTTCGCTACCGTGGATGCACGGTGGCACACCTGCCGCGAGCAACTGGACAATGTACACGTTCCCTCTCTAAGTCCCTCTATCTGATTCCCCTCTTCTCCTTTCCCTCCTCTCCCTCCTGCTCTCCCGTCTTCTTCCGCACACCATCTCAACCCAACCATCACAACCATCACCATCACCAGCACCATCAGCATAACCATCACCATCAGCAGCAGCATCATCAGCATCATCAGCAGCATCAACATCAGCATCATCATCATCGGCATCAGCACCGTCATCCTCCTCGTCATCATCATCATCATCATCATCATCAGCATCATCATCATCATCATCACCATCGTCATCATAAGCATCAGCATTAACATCGCCAGCACCATCATCATGCTCTTCACCCTCACCATCATCATCAACAACACCAACATCATCAATATCATCATCGTTATCAACACCACCATCACCATCGTCATCACCGTCACCATCACGATCACCACCTTCATCATCATCATCACCACCATCACCATCATCACCACCATCACCATCATCACCACCACACCCATCACCCTCATACTCATCATCATCAACATCATCAGCATCGCCATAATCACCACCATCATCTTACTCATCATCATAATCAGCATCACCATCATCAGAATACGTACCAATATATTCATCATCGTCGTCCTCGCCGTCGTCGCCGTGCCGCCATCATTATAACCAATTTCAGCATGATCGCCGTCACCATCGCCATCATGATCATCAGCATCATTCCTCCGCACCACCATCACCATCACCATCGCCATCGTTGCCACCATCATCAGCATCAACACCATCACCATCACCCGCAACAGCACCAGCACCACCACGAACACCACCATCATCATCAGCAGCTGCATCATCAGGTTCAACATCATCATCAACACCATCACCATCGTCATCATCAGCGTCGTCATCAGCATCAGCGTCATCAGCATCAGCGTCACCATCATCGTCATCGCCATCGTCATCATCACCATCATCATCATCGCCATCAACACCACCATCAACAAGACCATGACCACTATGATCATCAAAATCCTCATCACCATCATCATCCAATCAACATTTCCGTCTGTCTCTGTCGCTTCTGATCATCTTCTATTGTCTCTTGTCCGTCATACTCACTCACCCACTTGGCACCGCAATATTTTTCACAGCTTCCGCTTAAGTAGACTCCACCTCACTGAGCCTCTGCTCCCTCGTCCTGTCCATTCTAGTTGCATGTTTCCCCCATGCCTCATGCACTACACATGCCTTCATCATCTTCTCCCTGTCCTGTCTGAGTCGCGTTTAGACTCAGACAAACATCCTCCGAATGCTCTACGCAGCTCGACAGTGGGGTCTTGTTTCAGACGGGGATCAACTGTTGCTGCTTACCCCTGTGGCACCCCCTCTCATGTACCCTCCTTGTCCATACTCCCGCGTCCCCCCCTCCGTCCAGTAGGAGTGGCATGAGAAGGGTGTTGATGAGGAAGAGGAACGAAGGGGGAGGGAGAACGGGGAGAAAAGGAGGGAGGAGGGACGAGAGAGGAGGAGGCAGTAGGGCTGGGAGGATGAGGGAGTCGACCACGAGGACGACCAGTTCGGCAGACACCCTGCAGGCCCAAGCTTGGGCATGTGCTGGACGATGTACGGGAGGGCGCGCTTGGCCACGTCGAACGTTGGGTCCAGCTGGAGGCCCGGCCGGCTACACTCTTCGTCCCAACGGGTCGCGCCCCCCACCCCGTTCCCGCCTCTCCTCTCTGTCCTCCTCCCCATCCTCCTCCTCCTCCTCCTCCTCCTCCTCCTCCTCCTCCTCCTCCTCCTCCTCCTCCTCCTCCTCCTCCCCGACCCCTGGCGACTCAGACGGATCGCGCCAGGCTGTCGCAATGTTCGGCGTCTGGGGGCCCGACATTCAAAAACTCCCCAGGACGGAAGGCTGGCCCCAGGGAATGACCCGAGAGCTTCGGGAGCCAGCGACTCACAAGCATCGAGACGTCGGAGATCTGGGTCCTCCTCAGCCGCATCCTGGCTGCTTCTCCTCTCTCGTCTCCTGTCCTGTCCAGTGTTGTTCGAGTGTCGAACTGCTCGCTTCCGCTGGTTCACTGCCAGACCCCGCTAGATTATCCTTCTTTCCCTCGTCGCTTCCGTCCCTTCTCTTCCCTTCCGTTCCCTTCCGCTCCTCCTCCTCCTCCTCCTCCTCCTCCTCCTCCAGTCCAGAAGGGGGGAAGGGGTGGGGGAATGAGGATTCGTGGGTAGTTAAGCTTGCAAACAAAGATCCCTGCAGGAAGGAGGACAACGGATGGGAGGAAGACGAAGAAGAGAACGAGGCCCTCTTCCCTCCCCTCCCCTGCCCTGACCCGCCTGGCGTATCAGGCCCTCGCTGATGGAAATCGTGAACAATGTAGACGCAACGTCGCCTGCGGCGGCCCTATCCCGCTGCCTATACCCTCCCAGACCCCGCCCTTCCCGCATGCGACGCCCCCCCCCCCCTCCCCAATCTTACGGAGCACCGACTACTCTGGCGTGCTCGCGTGCCGCCCGCGAGGCAAACTGCTGTGAAAATTCGACTCACGGGCCGCGTGGACCCAGAACGGCCAACCCCTAGCGCATTCTGCGGTTCGGGCGGGAGTGTGGACCCACAAGTAGACAGCATAGCTCAACGATACTAGCCGCTCTCGCCTAGGCGCCTTTCAATCGTCCTTGGCTGTCCTGGCAAAGAACCCCAAGTCGTCATTTCCATCATCGTCAACAACTCTCCCTGCTTTGGCGCACACGTTCTCACAGTACCGGCATAGATGTCATCTCTGGCTTCGGCATAATGTGCTCCCCCCAGCTTGAGTTGATAATGTGACCAGGCGAATTCAGGGCATTGGTATGTGCAACCCATAGAAAACTATGGGAGAAATGTTGGCCTAAGACACAGCACAAATGCTCAGAAAGAAAGGCCCCGCGCCAGTGAAATAACGCCAGCGCCAAGCAGGGCGAGTATTGAGCGCACAGCTTCCTCTGTGGTTTCATCGTGCGAGTGCATTTCGAGCACAAGCATGAGTTTGCCAGGACCTTGCTTACCGAGGGCGCGTCTCCTACCCCAGCACGTCATTCAGTGATCTGCTGGCGCGCTTCTGGGCGCAAGGCGCAAGGCTGTGAAGGTTGCTGATGGACTACTGTTTTGCTGTCTGTGTGTGGTGTCTTCTGGTGTTGGCTCTTGCTCCTTAGTAGCGTTTCGCTGGAGGCTGGAGGGTTCAAGAGGTAAACGAAGCCCACAGAAGTGTCCTACAAGGGAACCCTAAACCGCCCCCCCTGAACGTTCGGTCCGGCATCTACTTCGCCTGAGACTTCTTTACACGTCATTCAGGGTCCGTGCTCTCCCCTCAATGCCGGCTACATGTTTGGTCCGAGCGGCCACAACCCCTTGTCAAACATAGACCAAGGTGGGCATGGCCGTGAGCTTCTCTGGAACCCATAGGAATACATAGGAATGCACGTTTTCACTGGCCGACCTTCTACTCCTCGACCCGCCTCCCAACCTTTGCTGGTATTACGTAGGGTGCTTTGCTGGGGTTATCTCTCCAAATCTGTCTCCATTATAATGTACACAAGGGAAGATCGCTCCAGGTTGCCTCAGCATTCCCGAAGGGATGCCAACAAATGGCCAAGCTAGCACAAGAGACCTCGGAGGCAGCCCCAAGAGGCTCCGAAGATGGCATGGAGAGTTCAAAACGAAGGAGTATGGCCTCAAGATGCATCTTAGATGGCCGAGGAGGACCCCAACACGCCACCGAGAGATCAAAACTCGTTGAACATCAATCGTGTCCTCTATATGCATTTGCATGTCCCATGGTCAATCCTAGGATGCCCCACGGTCGCTTTGAGACAACTCTCAGAACCTCCGAGATTGCCCAATACGGCACCCAGACCAAGACGTACACAAGAGGACCCCAAGATAAGCCAAAAAGCCCCAAGATGACCCCACTACTGCCCAACATGTCGCAAAGTTGTCCCGAGAGGCCTCTTGATGTCTCCAAGAGGTCCCGAGATGGTCCAAGAAGGTCTGAAAGCTATCCAAGAATATACACCAGATGGTTCAGCCTGGGGGCGGAGGCTGGCGGCAGAGGGCGAACCCTTGCAGGTAATTCAGCTGACCCGCCTCAACGTCTGGCCACCCCTACATGAGCTTCCTGGCCCCAGGGCGGCCGCAATTATGTCAGGGCTACAACATCAGGAGCAACGTGGAAACGAGACCTCCCCCAAATAATCCAGCACTCGTATGGAGAATTCTCGATTCGTGATGTGCACTGCCAGGTAACACGGGACGCGGTGCGCTCGCCATAGTGCCCGATCTCCGCCATACTGGGGATGCCGTGGTCGGCGCTCTTGGGGACGCACTAAGCTCCGCCAGACAGCGGGCCCCAGGGAGACCCAGCCACACGTGCTCCCCGCCCGCCTCCCCTGAGATCCGACGCTGCGAAACAAAAAACTACAACATCGCGACAAATCACAACTGGAGCTCCAAGCACCGTCTTTCTGCGGCATTGCTCGAGCTGGACCGATTTGTGATGGCCCTGGGGCCCGAAACCAGGCGAGAGCGCCCAGCGTGAAAATATGGCAACGCCCGGATCGCAGGGCCCCCGAACGCGGCCCACGTCGAACGTTCATTCCCGCGTGCAAGTGCACGGCCAGGTGGCAACCAGAGACTGCACCATTACACGCTCGCTCGCTGTCTGCATTTTCACGACTTTACTACCCCTACACCAGAGTCAGCACGCTTCACCAGCCGCCTGGCTAATTCATCGCACAAGTCTCGTCTTAGCTCTGTCGCATAGCTTGGAAAGAGTCGGCAGCAGTACAATAGGTAGATACACTATTGTGTGACAAGTATCGGTCGATCGTTTCTACATCTTGCTCCCGAGCTCTTCCATAGTGATTCTAATGCATTGTATAAGGTCGAAATGGGGCAGAAGACGCCGGCGCCCTGCAGCAGCATCTGGTGCTTCTGCATGGAGAACATCACCTGCCCCGCGAGGCGGTACGGCGGTGATGGCCATCGCTGCTGGAGGCGCTCCCAGTGTCCCTGACATCCTCTCGTTACGACAGAATCGCGACGAATTTGTTGTTGCCGATTGTCGGCCTCAGTGGGCCCCGATGAGGCCCCCTGGACCGTCGAAAACAACTCAGGATGAAAACCTGGTCCTGGGGAGGGGGTCCAGACCTCTAGGGCAGCACGTTGCGCAACAACTCGACGCCGGATGCCTGGAACGCACAGGCCATGAAATACCGAGGCTTGAATTGGAGCGAGCGCGAAGGCGAATCCGCGCCTGGGGGAACCCAGGGCGCCCTCCGGCTCCATAAGACTACCTTCCAAACGCCCGGGCAGCTCAGGCGGGCCCAGGTCGTCTTCCAGCCCCAGCCGAAATCGCCGCTGCTTTCTTTGGCAATCCTCGGGGATCAATTCCCAACCATCCTTGGTTGGGTATTCGTTTTGAATATAGCACTGCGGTTTCCAGTCCTCCTCCTCCTCCTCCTCCTCCTCCCGCCTCTCGCCTCTCGCTGTCCTCTTGTCTCCGCTTGTCGTGAGCGTACCACGTGTGTGTGTGCGTGTGTGTGTGTGTGTGTGTGTGTGTGTGTGTGTGTGTGTGTGTGTGTGTGTGTGCGTGCGTGCGTGCGTGCGTGCGTGCGTGCGTGCGTGCGTGCGTTGTGCGTGTGCGTGTGCGTGTGCGCGTGTGCGCGTGTGCGCGTGTGCGCGTGTGTGTGCGTGTGTGTGTGTGTGTGTGTCAGTGTGTGTGTGTGTGTTTGTGTTTGTGTGTGTGTGTGTGCGTGCGTGCGTGCGTGCGTGCGTGCGTGCGTGCGTGCGTGCGTGCGTGCGTGCGTGCGTGCGTGCGTGCGTGCGTGCGTGCGTGCGTGCGTGCGTGCGTGCGTGCGTGTGTGTGTGTGTGTGTGTGTGTGTGTGTGTGTGTGTGTGTGTGTGTGTGTGTGTGTGTGTGTGTGTGTGTGTGTGTGTGTGTGTGTGTGTGTGTTTGTGTGCGCCGTCCCTGGGGGGCTGCGATCTGCGACACTGTCGCCACTTTCGAGGGCTGCTGGTGTGTCCTGCGGACTGAGGCACCGCGGGGACCTGAGCGAGACCTCGCCGTCCCTGGAGGGCTGCGATCTGCGACACTGTCGCCACTTTCGAGGGCTGCTGGTGGGTCCTGCGGACTGAGGCCTCGCGGGGACCTGGGAGAAACCTCGCCGTCCCTGGGGGGCTGCGATCTGCGGCACTGTCGCCACTTTCGAGGGCTGCTGGTGGGTCTTGCGGACTGAAGCACCGCGGGGACCTGAGCGAAACCTCGCCGTCCCTGGGGGGCTGCGATCTGCGACACTGTCGCCACTTTCGGGGGATGCTGGTGGGTCCAGCGGGGTGAGGCACCGTGGGGACCTGGGAGAGACCTCGCCGTCCCTGGGGGGGGGGCTGCGATCTGCGACACTGCCGCCGCTTTCGAGGGCTGCTGGTGTGTCCTGCGGACTGAGGCACCGCGGGGACCTGAGCGAGACCTCGCCGTCCCTGGGGGCTGCGATCTGCGACACTGTCGCCACTTTCGAGGGCTGCTGGTGAGTCCAGCGGAGTGAGGTACCGCGGGGACATGAGCGATACCTCGCCGTCCCAGGGGGCTGCGATCTGCGACACTGCCGCCGCTTTCGAAGGCTGCTGGTGGGTCCAGCGGGGCGAGGCACCGCGGGGACCTGAGCGAGTCCCTGGGGGGGCTGCGATCTGTGACGCTGCCGCCACTTTCGAAGGCTGCTGCTGGTGGGTCCAGCGAAGTGAGGCCTCGCGGGGACCTGAGCGAGACCTCGCCGTCCCTGGGGGGCTGCGATCTGCGACACTGTCGCCACTTTCGGGGGCTGCTGGTGGGTCCAGCGGACTGAGGCACCGCGGGGACCTGAGCGAGACCTCGCCGTCCCTGGGGCGGCTGCGATCTGCGACACTGTCGCCACGTTCGAGGGCTGCTGTTGGGTCCAGCGGACTGAGGCATCGCGGGGACCTGAGCGAGACTGCGCCGTCCCTGGGGGGGGGGGGGGGGGGCTGCGTTAGTAAGCACTACGACGCCCTTATATCTTGATCGGGGGCCTGCGAGCCTTCCGATTGCTGCTCGCAAAATTACATGCGTCCCGTTGTAGCAATCCTGATGTACTTATGTCCCGCATTGCGCAAGGGTTGGGTACGTCGCCAGGGTAATTTTTCTTCGGCAATCGTTGTAGGGCGGCCGACGCGTCAGGGCGGCCGACGCGCCTGACACCAGCTGGACCGAGCAAACACCGCCATGGGCGTTGTTTCCCTGCCCAGCCTCGGATCAAAATGTCTCTTCAGGCTGCATCGGACACCAACGCACGCCCGCGGATATCTGGGAAACACGCCTGCACAAACGAACAAACTCCCTGCATACCCGTGGACCGTTCCTACATCTGAGACTCCCAATCGGCCCTGTATGATGGACACCCACCCATACCTCCGACACCGTGTTGTTTTTTTAGCGCGTGGGTCCCCAGAACTCTTGACGCCCACATCCCGGAAACAGGTTTGTGGTCGAGGGTGGTTTCGATTGCCGCAAGGCTCGAAACAAGACTCCAGAGGCCCAAACTGAGCAAAAGCAGACCGACGTGACCCCTGCATGACCCTGGAAGTCTTATAAGTTTTGATGTCTCCAATGCGCCTCTAAAACATACCTGGGTAGCTGTGGAGGCATTTCATGTCGTGCGCCTCAGACGGGTCCGCCAGGGCGCTCGAAAGGGCTCCCAAAGACCCCTACAAACGGTCCAAAGCCGGTCCAAGATCAATAATTAGCCTGGCGAAGGACCCAACCATATGCAGCTGCGAGTACCGCAAGGATACCAGTGTCAAGCTCCCCCCGACCTTCGGTGGAGATCCCTATGGGGCCACGAAACGTGTGAGGGGTGTGCCGAAATGGGTGTTGGGGAGTGCCGACATGGGTGGTGGGGAGGCATGCGAACCCTGCCACTGGGGCCTTCGGTGGAGCTCCATATGGGGCGAAACGTGTGAGGGGTGTGCCTGGGGCCTTCGGTGGAGCTCCATATGGGGCCACGAAACGTGTGAGGGGTGTGCCGAAATGGGTGGTGGGGAGGCATGCGAACCCTGCCACTGGGGCCTTCGGTGGAGCTCCCTATGGGGCCACGAAACGTGTGAGGGGTGTGCCGAGATGGGTGGTGGGGAGGCATGCGAACCCTGCCACTGGGGCCTTCGGTGGAGCTCCCTATGGGGCCACGAAACGTGTGAGGGGTGTGCCGAATGGGTGGTGGGGAGGCATGCGAAGCCACTGCCTTCGGTGGGTGGGGACATGCGAACCCTGCCACTGGGGCCTTCGGTGGAGCTCCCTATGGGGCCACGAAACGTGTGAGGGGTGTGCCGAGATGGGTGGTGGGGAGGCATGCGAACCCTGCCACTGGGGCCTTCGGTGGAGCTCCCTATGGGGCCACGAAACGTGTGAGGGGTGTGCCGAAATGGGTGGTGGGGAGGCATGCGAACCCTGCCACTGGGGCCTTCGGTGGAGCTCCCTATGGGGCCACGAAACGTGTGAGGGGTGTGCCGAAATGGGTGGTGGGGAGGCATGCGAACCCTGCCACTGGGGCCTTCGGTGGAGCTCCCTATGGGGCCACGAAACGTGTGAGGGGTGTGCCGAATGGGTGGTGGGGAGGCATGCGAACCCTGCCACTGGGGCCTTCGGTGGAGCTCCCTATGGGGCCACGAAACGTGTGAGGGGTGTGCCGAAATGGGTGGTGGGGAGGCATGCGAACCCTGCCACTGGGGCCTTCGGTGGAGCTCCCTATGGGGCCACGAAACGTGTGAGGGGTGTGCCGAATGGGTGGTGGGGAGGCATGCGAACCCTGCCACTGGGGCCTTCGGTGGAGCTCCCTATGGGGCCACGAAACGTGTGAGGGGTGTGCCGACATGGGTGGTGGGGAGGCATGCGAACCCTGCCACTGGGGCCTTCGGTGGAGCTCCCTATGGGGCCACGAAACGTGTGAGGGGTGTGCCGAAATGGGTGGTGGGGAGGCATGCGAACCCTGCCACTGGGGCCTTCGGTGGAGCTCCCTATGGGGCCACGAAACGTGTGAGGGGTGTGCCGAGATGGGTGGTGGGGAGGCATGCGAACCCTAAGAGGGAGGAGGGCGAGGAGGAGGAGGAGGAGGAGGAGGAGGAGGAGGAGGGGAGGAGGAGAGGAACGCGGGGCACCGTCTCTTCAAAACGAGGACCCAACACCACAGGATGGTTGGAAAAAAAACAGACAAACGGCACTGGGCGCCGCCGGCACGGAACATTGTACTGGGCCCCCTGTTAGAGCCACCAGGCTGAGGAAGTCGGTTTTGAATCAGGCGAATACTTGCATTCACTCGAATGTTGCTGAACGCGCGCGCGCGACAAGCCTAGCCCCAGATCATGATGCATGTAGATGTGTATGCATATGTTCCCCAATCAGAGCTTGCCTCTGTAGGGGTCCAAGCGGATTCATATAATCAGGTGAGGTTCGCCACCGATTTCCGCGGCCCGCCAGGGTGCCTGGGTGCCCAGGTGCCCGGGTGCCCGGGTGCCTTATAGCCGAATTGCCCTAGAGCCCTATAGCCCTATAGCCTTGTAGCCCTATAGCCTTATAGCCCTATAGCTCTACAGCCCAATAGCCCTATAGCCCTATACCCCAAGAGCCCAAATCACCCTATTGCCCTATAGCCTTATAGCCTTACAGCCCTATAGCCCTATCGCTCTGGAGCCCTATTACTCTATAGCCCTGTAGCCCTATATCCCAATAGCCATATAGCCCTACAGCCGTATAGCCCTATAGCCCCATAGCCCTATAGCAGTCTACCCCTATAGCCCTATAACCCTATAGCCTTATAGCTTTAGAACTCTATATGCCTATAGCCTTCAAGCCCTATAGCCCTAGAACTCTATATGCCTATAGCCCTAAAGCCCTATAGCCCCGTAGCCCAATACTCCTATAGCCCTATGGTCGTATAGCCCTAAAG